GTCATTGAGAGATGCCATTGTGCTGTTTCGATTAACTAGTATTTCATGAAAAAAATTAATATTTGTATTTTATATTATATTATACTCTCAAATTAAATCCAATATGTTTTTAAAGCAGTCTAATAAAGCATCACAAAAACTTTCAACTGAACAAAAGTTCAAAGAAAGACAAACAATTTGTTTATACAGCTGCTTTCTATAAGCTTTGGATTTTAGATTGATTAGATTGATATTATAAATTTTTGTTCTCTTTACTCTTTACTTTATGTGCAAGTTCTGTAATTTTAAAAACTCAAATGCCCAAATAAATATCAGAAATTTTAACTTTTAATACCTATTGTTTACTTTATGTTTACCTGATTTTGGTATAGTTCATATTACAGAGGACAGAGAGGTCAGAGAGTATTAAAAGAATATTACTCAAGTAAAAGTAGAAAGTACGGCACAGTGAACCTCCTCCTAAAGGTGCAATTTCTCCATAATGTTCATCAAGTAAATGTAACTGAGTGAATGGAAGTTATTACAACCAACCTCTGGCAATAAGTATTTATGAAAGCTGAAATCTATTTTAAAACTCTTGCTACTGGGGGAAAACTAATCTGTCTATTTAACTGTATACTGATTTCAGTATTTTCTTCTGACTGCTAAAAACTATTCCACAGAACCCTTCCTCAACCCCGTCTCCATTAGGGGAATAATTCGACTTTATAGAGAGAGACCTTTACAAATTATACAAAATAATAATTCATTTTCTGTTTGACTGTAGATTACAGTAAATACAATGGATAAATAAATAACAAATTGCTTGTAATATGTCCGCTGATATTGCATTTCCTACCTTACCTGTAAACTGACAGATTAAGCAAAGCCTAACATATTGATTATGTAATAATTCCGTCTTCTTTCCATCTGCTCCTGCAGACAGAAAAGCTCCATGTTAAGATATATCTACATTTTCATAAAATGATCAAATAACTCTTAGAAATATGTTATTTTCTAGTTCAGAGTCTGAATTCACATCTTACTTTATATCATATAATATTTTGAATCCATGTTAAGGCATGTCAGCTTGGGTTTAATTAAACAGGGAGTTTAAAACATGACCCAAAAACAAGGTGTGTGCACCTGAGGCATACATTTAGGTTATGGGTGATTTGAAATACTAAAAGAGATCTTCTGAGTTGAAAAGAGAAAGTAAGAGAGGCACACTTAGTCCAATACCTCCTTCTTGTTTTGAGCATCTCCTGCTGAGCACTGGAGGAACTGCATCATTGATAATGATGTCTGAGCTGTGTCGAACACGGAGAAAGAAAAGTACATTTACAGTGTTTGTAGAACATGAAGGCCAAAACTGGTTTAGAGTTTTGGATGTAAAGGAAAGAGAAAGGCGGGTTGACTGGCATCCTCATGATAAACAGGAAATAATCTGTCGAAGCCTCTCAGAGCTTTTTCATAGTCATCTGTGCAGACAGATGTGCATCTGCCCCTTGTGTGCCTGCAGTGTGTGTAAATGATGGCTAATTGTGTGTTATCCCATTAAGCTTCACAGCGGCTGGCAAGATGAGACTTGCTGGATTCTTTACAATAGAAAAGCTTTCATTTTGAGAATAATTAAACACTTTATGGCAGTAAACCTTTGATTAGTCACTTTATGAAATACATTTGATCAGTAGAACCTCATTTACCAAACCCTTAATTTTATAGCTTTGTCTTCAAATGTGGGGGGGGGGAAATTCGGAAGGTCTGTCTTAATTTTGTATTTATCTCATTTTTATCTCAGTCGCTCTGTTTATTTTCTGTCAGGGTTGGATTAGTACTACATCTTCATTATTTAAAACAGCTTGTCGCGTATGAACTGCTACACCATGAAGATCCAATAGAGACTGTTGGGTGAACTGAATAAGCAAACAAGCAGCTATCAGGTCCCCCTGCACTTGATGATGCCATCGCTCACCTGCTTTAACAAACCAACTGTCATTTAGACAAGGCAGACAACATGAGAGGATCATTTTCCTTGACATCTCGGGTGTATTTAACAGAATTCAGCCTGATATAGTTTGTCAGAAACTCCAGAACACCTTCAGAAGGAGGCATCAAAAAAGGCGTGGATTAAAGAAAACCTGACAAACTGACCACAGTTTGTGAGACTTAATGGTTACGTGTCTTAGCAGGTTTCAGTGTGGTTTTAAAGCTGGTAAAAAAGATTTATTCTATTACTTAGTAAGAAGCACCTGAAGCGGATTTACATTCTTTTTGTCAAAATGGGCTTTAAAGATCTGACCCACATGCAGAGAACCACTCAGAGACCAAGGGTAAAAGTTAACAGGTTTATCGAAGGTTGGCAAAAAAAAAATGAGAGAGAGTTGTTCTGCTGGGTAATAATGTTGGAACTCAGCGGACTGGTGAACCGGAACCGGAAACTCTGAAGGGAAGATCACAATGATCAGTTCAGGGACCGTTGGAAAAAAAGACTGAGGCTTGTATTTAGCTGGAGAGGCACTCTTTTGGGGGTTCTTGGTTATTCCTTAGATCCAGTTTGTGGGGTTTAATCCAGAGAAGAAGGAACTTGTTGGAGAGAGGACAGGCAGACTAACGTTGGACCCAGAGGAGTAAAGGAGCGGACTGTCACCTGGTTTTCCAGAAGTGGACTTGAACTGATCATGTGGAGGTTTCCCCTTGTTCAGTGTGACTCAGAAGGTCCAGGCTTATCCAGTGGTTCAGGAAGGCTTCCTGCCAAAGAACAAAGACAAAGCAAGCTTACACTCTGAGAGACAAGACTAAGGTTAGACTCTGCTAATCTCAATTTGGCTAGAGTACCCAATACTGGCAAACACTTTGGCGTTGAGGTTGTGACAGCCCGCTGCTCAAATACTCCTCTGCTAATGACCCAATGAGCCGCAGGTGTACAAGAAGGCCCAACGAGGACAGGGCACCATCTGGTGGTGGAGAAGAAAAACACAAAAACAACCCACACAAACTGGAATCCCAACACTTTGTTCATGTTTTGCCTAAATAAAAAATAATGTAATTAATGAAAGAGAAACTGTTTGAGTGGTAAACAATATTTTCCCTTTATAAAGAATTATGTGAATGAATGTCTCGTCTTAAAATCGTTTCCTAAAAAGCTTTGCCAGTGAACTAAACATTTAACATTGGATTAGCCTATTCAGAGTGATCCACATATAGGAAAAAGGCTTCATTCTAGTCACATTTGACCAGAACACCTCTGTATTTCATGTTTGCTGTACATAGCTATTGCTTAACAACTTCCTCACTTCTTCTTCTCAACAATGGTTTTCTTCTTGGGCCAATCTGGACAGACTTATATGACATTTAGCTCTGTATCTTTACAGCTTATTTAAAGTTAGCATATTTCACTCATTCAACAAGTTTTATTTTCAAACACTAACTGATCATTTATCTGGTTTCAGACACACTAACTTTATCACAAGTATCCAGTTTAATTAACTGGATTAATCAATTAATGATCCTGGTGGTGGTCTGGATGATATGGAAGATATTGATCAGGCATTGCTGCCTGCACACTTACACACAAACAGGCACGGTTATAGTAATCTGATTACACTTTCTAAAACACAGCAGACTTCTAGGCTCCACTTTGCTCTAATGGAGCTAAAGTAATAAGTGGCAAAGAAATGAATGGCTGCCTAAGTGAATGGATGTGTAATTAAAGAACGGGGCGATACAATCGATGTAATTAGCTTGTTTATGTGTTGTATAAGTGTTGGGTGCAGGACGGACGGACAGAGGGAGAGAGAAATGAGATAGAAGTCAGGGAGATGGAGTAGAAGAGACTAAGTAATACACAGAGAGTAAGTAAAGTCCTTATTCAGGCCTTTTTCCTACTCATCTGTCACATCAAGGCTCCAGATCAATCCTGTAAATTGGTCCGGTTCTTGACAAGGTTACCAAATGATGGAGAAACAGAGAGAAAGTAAAGAGAAGGAGACGCAGAATGTAAGACGGAAAAGGCAACAAGACAAAGAGAGAGGAGGGCAGTGGAAGAAAGGTGGGGAAGTTGTAATGTACTGTAGATGTTACACGTTTCAGCCGGGTTGAAACAATTGTAACAATTGATGTGTATCGATGTCTCAACTTCTCCCTGTCTTCTAAGAGGAAACCCTGTAAAAATTAATAGCTTCAGTGAATGAAGGAAAAACCGCCATCGTCTTCCCCAAACTCTCTGAGGAACGAGGGGGCGGGGCTCCTCCCCTTATACCTCCTGGTGAAACGCTGTCTGAATTTTGTTTACTTTTTTTTCTTTTTTAACTTAAGCAAAGAGGTATTTCAGTTAATTTCTGTCTAAAAAAAACAAAAAAACACACAATTATATTACAATAGAATCTTAATAATTTTAATAATGACTTATACTCTGACATTGTAAATGACCCCTCACACCCCTAACATGGACTGTTTACATTTGATCACTGCTGCACTTAAAGAATGATGGAAATGTCATGAGAGCTGTAGTGAATGAAATTTCGTTTTGTATACAAAAAATGTTTAAGACACTTAGTGTAAGTCTAAGTGTCTTAAACATTTTTTTCTTAACTGTATACATAAATAATGATCCAAATCTTGCCCTTTATGGTGTATCACATAGAGATGTCTAAACATGTGTGCAAGCTGAAGGCCAATAGAGGCGTCAATAAACCAAGAGCAGGGTGAAAGATTCTGTTTGATCAATGTATGTTGTCTGAATCATTGCTTCCAGATTCAGAAAATGCTCTGCCTGCTTAGCGAAAAGTCGTGTACATTAGCAATTGAGTTTGTCATCATTTGTCATTGAGGCTGCACTTGATCTGTAACCCTGTCTTAATGAAATGTGAAAACCATTTTCTCCCATTCCCATATGGGCTAGGGGCACTGCTGGAGCAACAATATATAAGTAATAATAAAAAAAAATTAAGTTGAGAGTCTCTGTAAATGTTTTCTGCCAAAAGCCGATTCCTACATATTTGTATTTGTGTGTTTTACAGGAACACTTCACACCGGAGTGTAAGTTTAAAGAGAGTGTCTTTGAGAACTACTACGTCACCTACTCGTCCATCCTGTACAGACAAACCCAATCGGGGCGAGCCTGGTACATCGGCATCAACCGGGACGGGCAAGTCATGAAGGGGAACCGCGTCAAGAAGACCAAGGGTGCTGCTCACTTCCTACCCAAGCTAATTGAAGGTACCAAGGTCAAAAAGCATCTATAACACAACCTTATTTTATCTTCAGTTCTTCACTGGGTTTTCAAAAAGCTTTAACTTCTCTACATTTAAAATAAGAATTTATACAGCTGTGCCTCATAAAGATGATAGTTGCACATTTAAGAAAAGCTGTTGTTTATTAGCCTGTATTCCTTCCTTGCTCTGTAGCCTTTACTTAAAGGGGAACAAGTGTTTTTTTACATTGGCCCCTTGATTTTACGTTATTACATAATGTTCTACTCACCCATATTAGTTTAATGTCATTTGGAGCTGTTTTGAAGATATTCGGTTAGGTTATATCCAAGTAACATCTTCCTATGGGCAAAGAGTTGAAGACACAAACTACACTGTTCATTATTTATTCTTTATGGTATGCCAGCATTCATAACATGTAGGCGAATCTCTGTCCCCCAGACATCCGCGGTTATATTTTATATATTTATATTTTTTAAAACAAAGCGGAGTGTGTATGACGTCATCCGCCCGCCAGACTGGAGTTTTGACAGGCAACCCGGGCCACAGGCGACTACGCTCTACTTCTTCAATTAGCTAATCTGAATCGTTCAATTCCATTTCGAGAGCGAGATCATCCGTGGTAGTAGCACTGCACATCTTCCAGGCATGTGAGTAAAACTAGCAGCAGTTCAGCGGACAGGATGAAT